AAAAACCGATCATATTAATAAAAATCGGGTAGAACAATTTTTAACATTTGAGAAACAACAAATTGTTTTTCTTAAGATTCCAAAATAAAACCATTATTTGTTGGTGGGGTATTTACGTCGAGCAATGTCACTCTCTTTCTCTTTAGGCCACTTGTTCCCCGACCTCTTTTTCCAAATCTTCCTCAAGTTTTTTATATTCATCCATGATAGATTGTAAAATTTGTTGAGAGTAGCAATTTTGGAATAAAATTTTTGGAGGGGTAGAGATTATAAACCAAAAGAAATTAAGTTTTTGAACATATTCAAACCTAGAAAATTGGAGTATGACTTTAACAAAATAAATAAGGGTATATTAGTAAACTTTAACACCCTATCACTCTGAAAATGGTAAAGTGACTACATTTTGGGACAAAACTATGGTAAAGTGGCCTATATAAATGGGACAGAGTAAATAATTATTCCGTAGACAATGTGTGGTCTACATGAAACTTAATGAATCTGCTTCACCTAATATATTGAGACTTGAGAGACAGCTCGAAGAGGCAGGGATTGAGCTTTAATAGATTCACACAATGGGAAACCAACTTATGTACCGTAGATGGAGATCCCATGATAGTTTAATTGGTAATCTAGTTGTAAGCCTTTTTATTTTAGCACTCAATTCAGAAATTTTTTGCCATCACATACTCAGAAAGTATGTAAATAGAACAAGATATTCCTACTATATTCGCCCAAGTACAGGTGGAAATGGGAATGCTTAAAAGGTACGAGTAGATGCCCGCACTCCTAAGATAGAGGATTATGCAAGACCAAAATGAGCACAACAGTGACAACTCTTAAGTTTAACAATAAAGGTTTGTGCGTGTATTGTAATCTTAGTTTTACGTTAAAAAGTAGAATTCAAGATATCAGGTTCAATTTACACTTTATAAGTAGTAAGCCTGGTAGAATGGCCCTATCCAAGGTTTCAAGTCTAAAAGAGCCTTCTGTTTAAGCAGAAACAAACCACTGAATGTTCCTGATAAATACATAACATTCCATTCAAAGTGGTGGATTATTGCAGAAAACCTAGTGCAGCATTGTAGGACGAACTCTTCACGGGGGCACAATCCAATGGTGAAACTCACCAGTGGTAAATTAAAACATTTTATTGCACCATATCAGTTTATCTCAGTTAAAAATAAAACACGAGCCAATGAGGCCATTGTTGGGTTTCCTCCAC